CAAATGAGCCAATCAGGAATGGACAACCCAGCACAGAGAGCTACCCAGTAAGTAAGGGTAGGACCTGAGAAGGAATAATGGGGAAGGGATGGGGCGGTGTGACCAGACCTTATGAAACAAGGACCCTCACCTACAGTCTTCAAGCATTCACTTTCAAATGCCCTCTCTCTGCAAAGAGAGCTTTCCTACTATTCTTCCTTTCTGATCTTACACTTTAACAAACTTTGCCCGCTGCTCATTTTGTGTCCACCTCCTCATTCTTTGAAGTGGGGAGACAAAGAACCCTGGGTATTGAGGTAAAAAAATTCTTACAACAATAACACCTTGTAATGCGTTCAACAATGTTTTTAAAAAGAAAAGTTCTTTAAGGAACTGTAGTTTAGCAAAAAGAATATACCAAAGATTACTCAATTTGGGGCACCGGGATGGCTCAGTTAAGCATCTGACTTTGGCTCAGGTCATGATCTTACAGTCCATGAGTTTGAACCCTGCACTGGGCTCTCTGCTGTCAGCCCAGAGCCTGCTTTGGATCCTCTGTCCTCCCTCTCATTCTGCCCCTCCCCCTTGCCCCCCTCTCAAAAATAAACATTTAAATAAACAAACAACAACAAAAAAAAAAACAGATTACTTGATCACTTGTGATCCTACCCATTAGATTAGAATGGGAGTCGCCACAAAGGGACAAGAGGAAAGATGGGCTTTTCCTAAAAGATCTAATGTCTGGTATAAAGAAGGGGATTAGAACTCACCTTGCAGGGTTCTGATGAGCTTCTCACCTGTGGTGATATTATTCACTAAAACTGCCTGCAAGGAAGATAAACACAATATGAAACACCCACAACCTAACAACTTAGAAGAGCCTTGATAAGATGTTCCTACTGGAAAAAAGGGGGCAGTGCCCCCCCACCCCCATCCCCCACCTCCCAGCAGCTGTTGGGAGGGATCCGGCACAGCCCTCTGGCTGGGCACTTGGACGGTGCTGCGGCCAGAAAAGGAGCTCACACGTTGGGAGGTTTGCTTTCTGAACAACAGCCTGTAACCAGAGCAAGGGGTAAACGGATCCTCCAACTACACTTGGGCCCCACAACGTGCTCCCCTCCATGAACTTAGGACTCTCTCTGGGGGAGCCCAGGTGCAGACACAAGTCAGACCACAGTGGGCAGAGGAGAGGAAGGGCTCTCTACACCCGAGGTGGGGGGTGGGTGGGACAGAGGTTCACAGGGCTTACACCAAACTGGGGAGGCTGAAAACAGAGGAGGAAGAAACAACACAGGACTCAGGAGAACAGTGAAAACCAAGGAAAAAGTGAGGGAAGGAGTGTGGAGTATAACGTGACAAGCAGCCCGTGACTGAGAGCGGCTGACTGCTTTCACCAGGCGCCCTTCTGAGCTCTCCCCGTCTGCTCACTCGCTTGCTCTCCACGCCAGGTTCAAGAGGTAGCCAGCAGAGGATCCCGTTTTAAAGGACAGGAAACTGAGGCACAGACTGCTTAAGAGCCTCAAGGCCATGAGGCTTTCTTCACAGCAAACATGCAAAGCCTAAACCTGAGCCCGGGCAGGCCTGATCCAGAAAGCAAGCTGGTGGTCACTACTTGCCAAATCAGGATCTAAACCCCCAGCAGGATACCAGGCTTGTGGGCTGTGCCCAGTGCTAAAAGCAACCGAAAACCTGAAGAAGAGGGGACTAAAATATTAAATGGTAGAGCACCTTACACAGGTAGGTGTTGTTTTGCACACACACAGAGCTGTGCATCAGACGGTCATGTGAACATTTCCTGCCTCGTTACAATCAACGAAGTCTGCAAACTCCCACTCGCACACCGGGCAGGCTGGAGAGACGCGTGTCTGCCCCGTTCCCGCTCACTGGTGGACAATGACAACCAGGCCACCCGCTGCTTCTAGCTTCCTCCCGGACCTCTGTCCGGCCCCTACTCTTCCTTTGGCTTGTGCAGGGCTTTCTGGAGTACAGGGGTGTGCTCCCAGAAACGAAATGTGGCCAAACGAATCGTGTTTATTTTGGGAGCTCTGAGGCCACAGAACATTTCCTGGCACAACAGGAAGGAAGTCACAGTGATGGTATCTGGACAATTAATCTCTCTGGGAGAGATCATCCAGAGAGGTGTTTGTAGATATTCTGGCGGGTGGGGGAGAGAAGAGAGCCCTGAGTGGCAAGTTGGCTGGCAGAGAAGGGCGGGGAGGGGGCAGCTCTCACAGCAGGGAGTCAGATTTGCACAGCTCAGTTAAGGCTTTCCCAAGTTCGGCTGCAGACATGAAAGATGACCACAGGATCGCTGCTGCAGTCCCACTTCTAAATCTACAGCCAAAAGAACTTAAAGCAAAATCTTGAAGAGTTATCTGCACCCCCGTGTTCACAGCAGCGCTATTTACAACCGCTAAGAGCTAGAAGCAAGCCACCCTCAACAGACGACTGGATACAGAAAATGTGGCATCTACATCCAAGGGAATATCATGCAGCCTTGAAAAAAAAAGGACTGTCATATGCTGTCACAACATGGGAGAACATGGAGGACATCATGCAAAGCAAAATCAGCCAGCCGCCAAAGGACATATATGGTTGCATTCCATTCATGTGCTGTGTCCAGGGCGGTAACAGAAACAGAAAGAAGAAAGATGGTCTCCCCGGGGCTGGCAGAGGGGAGGGGCATTAGCAATTAATGGGTCCAGAGTCCCTGTGCTGCAAGGTGAGGGTGAGAGTTCAGCTGCACAACAGTGGAAATGTACACTTGAACATCCCCCCCTGGCACATGCATTGAAACCACCTTCCCT